GGGGATATCCCCCCGAGGCCCTGCTGGGATGTCCCCAGGATCCTGCGGGGATATCCCCCCGAGGCCCTGCTGGACTGTCTCCTGCTGGGGGGATGTCCCCAGGATCCTGCGGGGATATCCCCCCGAGGCCCTGCTGGACTGTCCCCGGTCCTGCTGGGATGTGTCCCCAGGATCCTGCTGGGATATCCCCCAGGGCCCTTCTGGGCTGTCCCCGGTCCTGCTGTCGCTGTCGGCAGTGCTGAGCAGGTGCCACGTGCTCCGGGCACGGCTGGCACTGCCCTGGGCTCTCTGCCCCTGGTTGTGCTCAAATCCCTGCCCAGAGCCTAACGGGGAATTGCTACTGCAGGAGCAGGTGTGCCGGCGACTGAGTATTTTGGTACAAATCTCTGGGGTTTGGGGTTTGGACAAAATCGTAGAAGACAATCATCATCATCAGGTCAATTAAAATAACAGCTGGATGGCAGATAATTAGTTCCACCCTTGACATCAGGGTGAGGTCAGATGTAACCTCCTATTTGAGCTTTACAGTTGGTGACTGGTTTTTTTGCCGTCGGAATTTCCTGTAAAATCACTCCAATATAGGACCCGTTTTTGATTAATAGTTAACCAGCAGCCCTCAATGCATATCTCTCCGTCCAAAGTCCAACGTAAAGCCACGCTGGAGTTTACATTTCTGTCATGGAAACTAACTGCAACTCGTTGAGCCCAAATCCTTGCCTGGAGCTGTCCCGTCGTAGCAGTGAGCCCAGCGCTGGTGGAGGAGCCCCCAGACCCCGTGAGGGCTGAGCCATGCTGGTGGTGCTGAGCCCCCTTGGCTGGCAAAGGGAGGGGCCAGGGAGAGGAAAACAACATCCTTCAGTGTCAAGGGGCAGATTTTTTGGTGGTTTGGGGTTTTTTCTGGTAGAAAATGACATTTCAGGAAAAGGTTTTGGAAACTCCTAATGCTGGAGTGATCCAAAAGTTGCCTGTAGTGCACATTTAATAGAGACTTAATGGGAAGAGTTCAGTGCTTTAAGGGCTGCAGAAATGTAGTCCCTGTTACACCTAAGCTGCTGTGGCTCCTCGTGTGCCCAGATGGGACCAGTGGGTTTCCCACTGCACCGGTGAATCGCAGTCTTTGCCCTGCTGTGGTTGATGTTCAGTGGATGAAGGTGTTGTTTTGGTTTCTTTAAGCTGCCAGACCTGTTGCAGCAGTATGCGACCTCCTTCAGAGACCCCATGATGCTGCATCCCCCCGAGTGGTTCAAGGCCTTCATATACTGCGAAGCCTTTTTGCAGCTGCCGTTCTTCCCCGTGGCCGCGTACGCCTTCCTCAAAGGTGGGTGGGACCCCGGGAGGACACTGGGAGCATCTCTGCACGGCTCCTGCTGTCCTGTGTCAGAGCTCACCACTCCGGGGATGTCCCCTGTGCAGGGCTGGGCTGTCACAGCCCGTGGGAATGTGCCAGGAGCACTGGCTGCTTTCGTGGGGAGTTTTACCAGAGGCAGCAGCACCGAACAAAGCAACCCCCTGTGGCTCCAGGCCCTTGGCAGGTGCAGCCACTGGTGTGACCAGCACCAGTGTTTGGCACTTGGCACACTTCCAGGGCAGATAGAGGTCTGGGTCAAGCCTTTGTACTCCTTTTGTTACTTTGAAACTTTTAGGATCATCCCTTTGTTCTAAATTTCTATCAAGGGAGAGAAACTTCCTGAGTTCCTATTGATACTTGGGTTTTTTCTGCTACCTATTCAACCTGACTGATGGCTTACCCTGGCAGGGAGGTCAATGTTCTGTTAACAGCCTTGGAATTCTGCTGGTTTCAAAATACTTACTGTTTCCTCTGTGCTTCTGTCCAGGTGGCTGCAGATGGATCAGGACTCCTGCCATTATCTACTCCACCCACGTAGCCACCTCTCTGTTTGCTATCCTGGCCCACATCCTGTTCCACGACTTCTCCAAGTCCGAGCACGCGGGGCCTCGGACGCTGCGCGAGCGCCTTGTTCTGCTCTCCATTTACCTGCCGTACCTGCTGATCCCCCTTCTGATCCTGTTCACCATGCTCTGCAACCCCCACTACAAGCACGTGGAGAAGAGGAAAAGGAAGTAGCCCCCACGACCCCTGTGCTGGTTTTGGTTCTGACCCGACGCTGACGGAGTCCCCTGGGACAAGCCTCTCCCGTGCTGGCCCAGCACTGCAGGGAAGCCTGGGCTGGTTTGGGTGCACAGTCCTGCTGTGGCCACACAGCCCTGGCAGAGCCTGAGCCCGTGGCCCTGGGGCTGGGCAGTCACTCCTGCCCCTCTGCCAGGCCTGGGCAGGGCCTGTCCAGCGGGAAACGCGCTCGTCACCCTCTGACGTGTCACTCCGCGAGGGACACGCACTGACACTCTGCAGCTGATACTGTTCTTCCGAGTTCCCTTTTCCAAGGTGACTGTTTGGAAATCACCTAAATGGGAAATTTGTCTTCCAGCGGCATATTCTGCAGACTCCCCAGCTGATCACACAGGTTTGCAAAGCTGAGCTCCTCAAGCATCTCAAATCATGTCATTCGTAACCTCCCCACCCCCTCCTTAAAAGTCTGCCCTGCCTTTGCTCTGCTTCATTTTGATTCATTGTAAGTGTCTGATCAGTGATAAATGTGCCAAAATCTGGGTTTATGAGTGCTTACAGGTACCTTTGACAACGAGGAACACTGCCTCGAGGATCCTGAGGTACTTCAGAAATTGTAAACAAGGAGTTGCAAATTTCCCTCCCATAAAGTCACTTCTGGTATGGAAATAAATAACTAAACGCATTAAACTGCATTTAGTCTTCTTTGGGGAATGGCTGAAAGGAACTCACGGTGAGCAGGAGCTGGTAGATAGTTCACAGAGTAAATCTGTGCATAAACTGCAAGTGATGGAAGTTCGGGGGGTTGGGGTTGGCGTTGTAAGTTCTCAGCTGATGTGCAGGTACCTGACCTGGAGCCTGGTGAGGGGCACAGGGCCCTGCTCAGGACTTCACGCCGTAAAATTCAGGCCTTCCCCAGGCTGTGGGAAGGGCAACATTTCCTGGAGGCAG